CTTGTGTTTTTAGTGGCCTGTATATTTTGTAATTGTTCCGGTTAATTCTTCTGAACTCTTCGAATGTTATTTGCTGACTGACTGGTACTGACCTAACTAACTTGTGCGATGCACGATCTTTCGGAGCCCATGGTTTCCAAAGGGAAATCGGTTTTCCCATTGGTGGTTGACAGGACCGAGGGTGGGCCCTCGGTCCGCGAATCAGATGCCCCCAAAGAAGGGAGGACCGTCTTCCGCGACCAGGTCTGCCGGTGGAGGAAGCCTCTCCCTCAAAGGGGGTTGCTGGTGGGCCACCCGCACATTCGTGATCCTTCCTGAAGGACCCGTTACTTTATGGCTCCGAAAGTCGCGACATCGCGCATGGCCTGGTCCCTTTCTTTGCAGGCCTATTGTCAGCCAAATCCTAAGTGCTGTTGCCTGCTTTCTAACATTAATGGCTAAAGAATGCCTCGTGTCCGGTGACCCGAGGGAAATAAAGAATTGTTTGAAAATGCATTGAAAATGAAGATAGAAAGGACACGGAACTTGAACTAAAACAGCAATTAGAATCTGGCTGCCAGAAGACCCTAACGGTCTTCTGGGTCTATTCTAAACAAGGGCCGAACAAAATACCGGCACGACATTCCAAGGCTTAACAGTCTTAATTACAGATTTATTTCGAATATTTATCAAGTGCTGTTGTGGGCTAATGGCGACATCCGAAAATTCTCACTCTGGTTGGAATGTTCCTAATTTTCACTATCGATAACTATTCGAAAGTAATCTGTAGTTAAGAATAATAAAGCTTTAATCATAAATATCTCAAAAACTATCGAGTAGTTGGTACTACCTTATAATGGTACATTTTCTTGAACTGCATGACTAATTCTACGAACCTACAAAGTTTCAACTAAACCAATGACCCAAACGACTTGCACTCTTCTTGCAAGCGTTAATAACTCACGACTGACTCTCACTCGCTATCTTTCAATAAACTAGGTATGACTAACTCTAAAACACATACTGACTCTTCCACGTCCTTGCATTCTTATGTTGGTAAAATAGTATAAACCTATTTTCTACTACCTATTTTGTGAAATACAAGTGCGACCCACTGTGATGCACGCCGACGTCAACGTGTTAAGCCTTGCACTCTGCCTTCTTTCATACTCATGTTCTCGTTCTCAATCGGTGGCTCACGTATCCTAAACACTCAGATGCATTCCTAGGCTTTCACTTGCATTTGGCTCTGTCATAAGCATCCCTTACATTCAATCTTCTTTTGCTCACTTGAGCAAAGGGAATGACTTGAGTCACTTTTGCTCTGTGGGGGTCCTCCCCCACCATCGTTCGAAGTCCGCTCGTCGCAGATAGCCTCTTGGTTGGCGTATCTAGAAGGGACGTTAGGAAAAGGAAGGGATGCGTTTCGTCCCGGGCCTGCTAGCGGACTTCAGTAAGGCTTGCTTAGCAGGCTCTTGCCTTAGACACTGGGAATACTATTGGAAAGACGGGAAGTTATATATATAGGAAACTGGGAGTTTCCCGAGGACTTGCGGGAAAGTCCGGAGTCCATCTAGTGGTGAGGGCGAGAATGATGGTCGCTACAGCTCTAACAATCTTATTTACTACAGAAAGAACACAAAAATATAAATACAAAACCTATCGCTCATATAAGTATTAATTACATCCTGACAAACTTTCTGACTACACCGGTGTTCCGTCGTGGAACAAGGAAGACAGTTACGATCATCCAACAGTCTGGTCTCTAAGGTCAAACAATTCGGTATCGGAATTTTCCTCTCTATGTCTTCTGCATGTTTGAAAACTCCTCGATCTGGAGGATCGTCTCACGCTATTTTATCAACCTTGCCCAAAAATCTACCTCACCCCTTAGGTCACTCAAAACATTGCAGACCCATCGGTAAAGTTTGTTGATAATCGTTTTCCGATGGATCTGATTTTCATCCGGGCCCCTAACTTTCTCTTCTACGACCCCCTTTCTGTTTATTCCCTTCGGTCGCGTGGCATTTTAGATACATATCGCAGTATAGTACTTTTTCCACCGCGTACACGTAGTTTTAAAGTCTATAGAAAGAACGAGGGTCGAAGGTACAGAGTCCAGGAGTACTGAGGAAACTTCTAGGCAATGCATCAGGTCCTTAACATGACCAAATATGGTAAATTTGGAGAAATTTGGGAGAAATTTTAAATTTAATATTTGGGAAAATCAAATTTTAGTATTTAAGGCAATCAAATTTTAATATTTCACACGTTAAGTGCCCAGCCTGTTTTGTTTGCCGTTCCGTTCAGGCCCAAACTCGGCTGTCAAGTGGGACACCGGTGGTAGGTGAAGTATTCATAGAACTCGGAGACACTGTACCAATTGTTACAACAATTTATGTCCCAAACGTTAGGTCCAAAGATGGCGAGAAATTTAACACCAAAAATTAGCACTTTTTGCTCTCAGTTCAGGCCGGTCACTGAAGACCATTCGGGCCTGAACGGAAAATCTAGCGGCGGTCCCCGGGGACTGGAATTGAATTTTAATATTTAAGGGAAATTTCGGAAGGCGTGTGCATAGTGGGGAAGAAATAAAAAGTACACTGAGGGCGATCGACGGATAATACGAGGTTGTGAGCTCAGTAGATTAAAATTGAGAGTCAGAGTCGAACGGGGTTAGAGTTGAGCGGAGAACATCGTTGAGTGTTGTAATATAGTGTTGAGTATATAGTGTTGAGAAATAGAGTAGAACTGTTGAAGTATATCGAGAGTTATTACAAACTCCTATCACTGAATAATTCGTAGCTTTATTTTTATCAGCATGACATTATAATATTGTTAATAAATTGTTATCGATAAACATTGCCACTGTTTATCCTCTACAATATATAAAACGAATGAAAATTAATTAAAATAAAATCAAGTTATTATTACAGGCGAAACTACAATTCATCAAATGCAATTATTTATGGGAATTTAAATTAGGTTCTGATATATATAACGCCACGTTATTTATTTATTATTAAGAAGAAATAATATGGAACTTAAAAATTGGAAGAACGAGATACAATTTGCAATTAAAATGAACTATACAGAATTCACGATTTGAAAAAGTTATATAAAAGGATAGAATTTAGATTTAAAATATATGGTTCATGCCATGAAGTGGCATGTCGATTTGTGCCATTTTGTGTTATTTCTGCACAAATAGTATCGGAAGTTCCTTGGTACATATTCTCTTTACTATAGTGGGCACGTTCGAAATTCGGGTGATTTTCCTTTATGGGCCTGAACTAGGCTACTCTGACAGCGAATAATATCAGTATAGCTTTTGAGGAAAATAGTGCTAATGAACGTAATAGTCGTCAATTAGCTACATTTAGTTTTAGAAGTACCGGGCTTGTAAATGAAGAGCAGAGAAGTCTACGAAAAAAATGAAAAAAGATTTCAAATTTGTACTATCTTTTAAAAGGTAGTTTCTGAGGGAGCGTAGGAGATAAAATGTAGAAATTGAACTAATTGTCCTACTATGAATTTTCTCGATATAAAAATATAATAGAAAATAATAAAAAATTATGAAAATATAACGATAATACATTCTTAATATAATAATGCTATTGTAATAGTATAGCGTTAATATGATAATATAGTAATAATAAAGTAATATATTATAATAAAATATTATAACATAGTAACGCCATAATAACAAATTATTATAATATAATAATAAATTACTAACAAATTACTATAATATAACTTAATTAAATTACTGTGACATAAGTCACTAATATATCATTATGATATAATAATAATATAGCATCAATACGCTAATATAATAATAATAAAGTAATATATTATAATAAAATATTATAACATAGTAACGCCATAATAACAAATTATTATAATCTAATAATAAATTACTAACAAATTACTATAATATAAATTAATTAAATTACTGTAACATAAATCATTAATATATCACTTTGATATAATAATAATATAATAGTAACTTACTAGGATATAACAATGTTATGATAACAAATTATTGTAATATAATAATACGATAACAAATTAGTATGATACGTTAATAATATGGTAACAAATTAATATAATGTAATAATAACATTCTAATAAATTCTATAGTATCGAAGTAGGATAATAACAAATCACTGTAATATAGATTCATACATATGTGTTCACTGTGTATATAGATGAAATATATTGTTATAACAATTATAACAATAATAGTCTTAATATAATAATAATATTGTAACAATATAGCATCAATAATAATAAAATAATATATTATAATAAAATATTATAACATAGTAATGCCATAATAACAAATTGGTATAATACAATAATAAATTACTAACAAATTACTATAATATAATTTAATTAAATTACTGTAACATAAATCATTAATATATCACTACGATCTAATAATAATATAATAGTAAATTACTAGAATATAGCAATGATATGATAATAAATTATTGTAATATAATGACACGATAACGAATTAATATGATACATTAATAATAAGCTAACAAATTAATATAATGTAATAATAATATTCTAATAAATTCTATAGTACAGAAGTAGCATAATAACAAATCACTGTAATATAAATTCATACATATATGTTTTACTGTGCATATAGATGAGGTATAATCAATCTTAAACTTCTCCTCAACAAACATTTTCGTGAAAACGTAACAGCAAACTTCTAACATATTTTTTAATAAATCTGCCGCAATGTTTTCTCTTTTTTCTCAATCACAAACTTTCTTGGTTTTTCTAATTAATTACAAACATCCACGCTTTCACGATACGTTACATAGTTTCTCTTCCTACACCTTAAGAGGAAACTTTTCTGAAAACGCAGAGGGAAACGTGTGGGCGTGATGTTATACAGCTTACGAAAAGTGTGTCTAATGGTATTTGAAGAAATCGCATCATACACTAAAGCTTGTGTTACGGAACGTAAAGTAAATTTTTGTTGCATTTTTATTTTGCAGGTTGAAGGAAGTCCTCGTCAAAAGTGTTCAAAGCATGGCGGGGGGACACTGTTAATGTCGTCCGTATTAAATTTAGGAAGGTGAGTACAATTTTATTTGAGTGACCTTTCCAGCGAGGAAAAGTATGTACCCCGAATGTATGAAACCTCTGAAGCATAGTGAATTTAGCAACTATTATCATTATGACTATTTTAATTAGAATATACTCTAAATACAAAGAAAAAAAATTCAGTAGCAATCTGTGAATTTATTTATCTATTTCTGGGAAGTGAATAACTAAACAATTTTTTAAATAATGTATTTAACACTAAAAATACTGAACCTGCCTAAATGGCAAATTTCAAATTTCATTTTATTACATTATTAATTTTATTATAAAATTATTTTTAGCAGAATTAATATTATTCATTATTGAAATAAATATGTAACTGAATATACTTATTTATTTCATCACACAATCTTCATTAGTATTATTATAGTTACGCTATATTTAAATTATACAGTAAATCTAGCGTTAAATAAAAATTGTTTAAAGTTGAAGATTAAAAGAAATATATAAAATTTTTAATTTGAAATAATCTGTACTTACACGCGTTTAATAAAAAGAGAATAAGAAAACTCGATTATCTTTTGTAAATTTTTATTTTCGAAGATTCGAAATAATCGATATTAGAGAGTGTATAAATTAGAATATTTAGTATTTCATGTTATATATAATATTGACACTTTGCACGCCACTAGCGCCACTGCGGATACACTGATAATCTACAGTGGTATCTGGTTTCGTTCACGCCGATAAAAATAGGGAAATAAATAAAATTACTATATAAACTCTCAGAGTGCAGAGAATTAAATATTTAAAAAAGGAACTTAATACATGCAATATCGTAGTATATATAAAACACTTGATAAATTTTTATGTGGAAATTCGTACTTTATTGTTGAAATAAAAATGTTTTGTTTCTTGTGATATCTCATATCAACATGTATTACCAAAATTATTTAGTCAATTACACGATACTATTTGATCAAAGAAATTCTGAAAATTCGTATAATAATTACTATATCTATTCAACTCTAGTCAGTCTTCTATCTTGGAGTCCCAGAAATAAAACAAAAATCGAATAGTCGAGGATATTTTGTTTTAAGCTTCCTATATTAATTAGTATAATCATCGCAATATGATTACTATTAAGATTATGATCAAAAGAAAATATCTTAGTTAGGCCTTTGAAACGAAATTTCATTAAATTCTGAGAGCGACAGAAGACAGTAAACAAGCATAGAATGAAGGATGATCATAGATTGGTTAACGGTGTTAATCGGCGGCACGCACAGATGGCGCGCGAGTCGCAGTTCGTGATGCCTGTCTAGTAACTTCTCTATCTGTGACGTAATAAATTTATGCAATAAATTTATCTAATAAATTTCTGATTCAATAGGTGTGTAGATTATGGAATAAATTTATCCAATATTTATGTCATCAATTTTATAACGTTTGTTAATTCGACGAAATAAATTGACGTATGTGGAACTCACAGACGTGCGATTTATCTGCTGAGAATGCGGCTTATGTGACTGACTGCGAGTATGTACTAAATTCCGTAGAAATGTCATCAATTTTATAACGTTTGTTAATTCGACGAAATAACTTGACGTATGTGGAATTCACAGACGTGCGATTTATCTGCTGAGAATGCGGCTTATGTGACTGACTGCGAGCATGTACTAAATTCCGTAGACTTTGAAACTGTCGACAATCAACGTATGTATCCGCGAACGCAACTAATCTAAGTGTTTGCACCGGTTCACGTAGACGTGCTTCGCCAACCAAATATCGCCACATTCCAAGTATTTTCAAATTTTACGCAGTGTTTGTTGTCGCATATTCATAGAAGGAAAGAATGATGTCGTTTATTTTGAAACGAGGAAATTTTTATTTTAATCAAAAGACATTTAAAATCATTTTTCCTCGCTTTTGTCTCGATCTTTATTTTCTATTTTTAATTTTAATATATAAATATATATTATAAAATATCGTATAGATAGCTGTTGCTTAATAAAACTAGTGATATGTATAATATTAAAATACTGTGTTGTAGGTGTATTTAAAATTGTTATTTTATTGAAATCGATGAATAATGGAATAAAAAATATTTTTTACCGCCAATTAAATAGTGAAATTGTTAAACAGTGAAAATAAATATTAAAATAGTCCAACTTTTGCATACGAAATGTACTATTCGTGTCATAGTAACGAAGGTTGGTCAATTTTCACGGGCACTGAACACTTTAATAAGAAATTAAATTAAACGCCCAATTTACGCTCTCCCATAAATTAATTCCAATTCATCAATAATGAATTGTCAGGTCGTTGCAGATGAAATGGAGGAATTATTAATAAAATTTTTAATCTCACTAGTTTTGTTCGAAACGATGTTAATTAAAGTCTGATTTTGCGGATTCCATGCATTTCGATGATAATAAAAGAGATTACAATTTATGGATACAATTGGCATAAATAAAGCCTCCAGTTAATCGTTATTGATAACTTCTTCGTTTATTTTCTACATTCGAATTTTTTAATTAAAATTTTTTTTTTAATAACAGCAAGTGGTCTATTTTTCTTTAGTGTGAATTTACTGAAAGAACTATTCATGATATAAATAGCTTTTGTCCCATTATGTTCACATTTGAACTGTTATAAACGAATGATCATAGGAATAAAATTAATAAAATAATTATTTCATAACAAACTAACAAAAATAATAATATAATTATTTCATAACAAACTAACAAAAATAATAATATAATTATTTTATAACAAAATTATAACAAACTATACATTAATTTAAAGTATTTTATAATAAGCTAGTAAAATTAATAATACAATTAATTATGACACAATAATAAAATAAATAAAATAGTAACTTTATGTGTTTAATAAAACTTCAATTGCATTCTATTCGAATAACATTAACACCTGGAAATTGGAATGGTATGAAATGAATGTTATTTATCTGCATAAAGTAATAAAATTAATAATGTGATTATTTCATAACAAACTAACAAAAATAATAATATAATTATTTTATAACAAAATAATGGAACCACTAATTGAAAGTATTTCATAATAAGCTAGTAAAATTAATAATACAATTAATTATGACACAATAATAAAATAAATAAAATAGTAACTTTATAGTAACTTTGTGTGTTTAATAAAACTTCAATTGCATCCTATTCGAATAACATTAACACCTGGAAATTGGAATGATATGAAATTAATGTTATTTATCTGCATAAAGTAATAAAATTAATAATGTGATTATTTCATAACATACTAACAAAGATAATAATATAATTATTTTATAACAAAATAATGGAACCACTAATTGAAAGTATTTCATAATAAGCTAGTAAAATTAATAATACAATTAATTATGACACAATAATAAAATAAATAAAATAGTAACTTTATGTGTTTAATAAAACTTCAATTGCATTCTATTCGAATAACATTAACACCTGGAAATTGGAATGATATGAACTGAATGTTATTTATCTGCATA